CGCCGGAGCCCAGCAGGTCGAGGCTGCGGTGGCTGGGCGCGGCCACTGCACTCCAATCTGGGCGACAGAGTGAGACTCCAACTCAAAAAAAAAAAGAATATTAGTTTTGCAGAATGTGTTTAGGTGTATTATGGTCAAATTTGAGAAATACTGGGTTAGACCCAAGTTAAAAAGGATTTTCTACTGTATGACTTCTCAGAATCTTTGTTCAGTTATGTGTAATTTTAAAGAGGGAGATAGAGTATATAGCATTTCCAAAACTTCTTTGATCCTGAAAAAAGAAAACTCTCCTGATCTACAGATGAGAGCCTGGAGAGGTGATATCTAGGGGAAAAGGGAATCCTTTTCACATTCATTTCAACAAATATTGCCTAAGCACCCATGGGCTAGGCTCTGCAGCAGATGTCGAGGATAAGAGCTAGAGGCACAGAGAGAACTAGTAAATTTGCCTTCTTGCCTTCATGAAAATCATATACAGTATACTGTAATACGATGTAATAAGAGTATATGGAAAGCACTGGGAAAAGCTGGTGGGGAGGAAATAGTTGAGCGAAGCCTTACAGGAAAAGTAGGAGTTGAAAAGGGAAGTGAGGGCCGGGCTCAGTGGCTCAGTCTGTAATCCCAGCACTCTGGGAGGCCAAGGCTAGTGGATTGCCTGAGTCCGCGGGTTTGAGACTGGCCCAGGGAACTTGGCAAGACCTTGTCTCTACAATAAATAAAAAATTAGCTGGGCCTGGTAGCTCATGCCTGTAGTTCCAGCTACTTGGAAGGCTGAGGCAGAAGGATCACTGGAGCCCAGCAGGTTGACACTGGGGTGGCTGTGAGTGTGCCACTGCACTCCAGCCTAGGCGACAGAGTAAAACTCCAATGTGAAAAAAAAAAAAGAAAGAAAGAAAGAAAAAGAAAGTGGGATAAAAGCTGGAAACACTCAAAATATTCCTAAAATCAGGAATAGATAAGGAAACTGTGGCTTATCCATATCATGAAATACTACTCAGCAATAAAAAGGAACACATTACTGATATACAATAACTTGATTGAATCTCAAATGCAATATGCTAAGTAAGAAAAGCTAGGTCTGGAATCCCAGCACTTTGGTAGGCTGAGGGGGATAAATGGTTGAGGCCTGGAGTTTGAGACCAGCTTGGACAACATAGCGAGACCTCGTCACTATAAAAAATTTTTAAAAATTAGCCAGGCATGGTGGTATATGCCGGTAGTCCCAGCTACTTGGGAGGTGCAGGTAGGAAAATCGTTTGAGCTCAGGAATTCGAGGTTACAGTGAGCTATGATCATGCCACTGTACTATAGCCTGGGTGACATAGAGAGATCTTGTTTCTTAAAAAAAATCCAGACTCAAAGTCTGTATGATTTTATATGTATGACATTCTAGAAATGGCAAAATTTTATCAGTGGTTGCCAGGGACTGGGACTAAAGTAAAGGTTGATTATAAAAGGGCACATAAGAATTTTTTGGTGTGATGGAATTATTATATAGTCAGCCTTTAGTATCTGCAAGTTTGGAATCCAAGATTCTACCAATTATGGATATTTTTTAAAAAAGGTGATGATATGCTAGTTACCCTGATTTGATCACTATATATGGTACATATTGAAATTTACTATATACCCTATAAATATGTACAATTATTATGTATCAATTAAAAATAAATAAATGTTTAAATTTTAAAAAAGACTTGATGCAAATACAGGAAACTGTTAACATGTTTTGCAATTTAATTTTAATCTGGAAAAAAATTTTAAACAATAATAAATAACAATAGGACAATCAAAAATACAAATTTAAAAATATAGTTTAACAGCCGGGCTCGGTGGCTCAGCCTGTAATCCCGTGCCTTTGGAAGGCTGAGGTGAGTGGATTGCCTGAGCCCACAGGTTCGAGACCTGCCTGGGCAACTTGGCGAGATCTCATCTCTACAATAAGTCAAAAGTTAGCCGGGCGTGGTAGCGCACGCCTGTAGTTCCAGCTACTTGGAAGGCTGAGGCATAAGGATCGCTGGAGCCCAGCAGTTCGAGGCTGCGGTGGCCGGGAATGGCCACTGCACTCCATTCTGGGTGACAGAGTGAGACTCCAACTCAAAAAAAAAAAAATACAGTTTAACAACTATGTATATAGCATTTACATTGTATTAGGTATTGTAAGTTATCTAGAGATGTTTCAAAGTATTA